CCCCCCCGGGAAAAAAGCCCCCAGATGCACTCTGCACATGCTCTGGAGCTGGGCTGCAATCGGAGCTTGTTGTTGCGGTGTGCCTTCAAGTCGTTCCCGACTTTTGGAGACCCTAAGGCAGCGATTCCCAAAGGCTGGCCTGCCAGGTGTTTGGGACTCCAGCTCCCAGGATGCCAGGCTATTGGCCAAAAGGGATGAGGCTTCTGGGAAGGGAAGTCCAACACATCTGGCGTACTAGACTTTTGGGACTCACTGCCCTAAGGCGACCCTTATGATGGCAGGTTGCTTCAGAGGGTTTGTTTTTTGCCATGGCCCATCCTCTGAGGCTGAGAGAGTGTGGCTTGTCTAAGGTCACCCACTGGGTTCCCATGGCCAAGCTGGGATTCGAACCCTGGTCTCCAGTGTCCTAGTCCAATGCTCAAACCACTACGCCACGCTGGCTGTCTTTGCACACACATTATAAGGGAGGAATTCAAATCTATAGCCGTGTTAGTCTGTAGGATCCATGTACAGAGATCTTATAGCTGAAAAGATAGAAGTTGGCAACATGAGCTTTTGTAGACTACAGTCTACTTCCTCAGATGCATTTAGCGGAGTGCTTTCCCTGGTTTCTGCTCCACCAAATGCATCTGAGGAAGTAGACTTCAGTCTATGAAAGCTCATGCTGCCAACTTCTTTCTTTCAGTGAGTCTCAAAGGTGCTACAAGATCTCTCATTATAAGGGACAGGAGCCCGGTTCCTTATTTCAGGTGGCAACCCTAAAGTTACATGCCCTGGCATAGCATTCTCTGCCCACATTCTCCCACCTTTATTGGTGGTGCCCCCAAATCTCACCCAAGAGGCACCCATCTTCCCTGCCCATCCCACAGGCTCTCCGAAACTTTTCCCTGAAGGAAAAGACATCCAGACAGAGAGGTCTTCCAAGAATCCTCTAGTTCACTTCCCAAACTCTAATGGCATTTCAGAAAGGAGGACAGGCAACAGACAGACCAGCTGCCTCCCTGCCTGGCAGCCCAAACACTTGACCAATACTGCCAGGATACATGGGCAAGAGAGGCAGTCGGCTCCCAGTGGCCATTTTCTTGGGTGGGATACATGCAGATCATCCCCACACAAACACACAGACTATGAAGCAACTGCAGAGGGCTGGCAGAGACAAGTGGACAATCCACAGAAAGAAAGAAAGAAAACCCAAGGTACACAGTTTTTCCTTGGATCTGCTGGCACACTTCCCTATATTCTCAGTTGTTCAATGCACCGAGGCTGATGTTTCCAATAAAAAGGATAAAAGACCACAAAACCCTCACTCATCCTCATACTTTACCTGAAAAATCTTCCCTCTCATTGGTACATCTGGCACATTAGTGCCACCAGGTAGGAATTCCACAGTCAGCCCTGCATCCAGGACCAATTGGGCACCATACAACCCCTGGCACACTAGTGCCACTAGGTAGGAATTCCATAGCCAACCCTGCCTCTAGGACCACCTGGGCACCATACAACACCTGGCACACTAGTGCCACCAGGTAGGAATTCCACCGACAGTCCTGTCTCTAGACCAACTGGGCACTGTACAACACTTGGCACACTAGTGCCACCAGGTAGGAATTCCACAGACAGTCCTGTCTCCAGGACTGACTGGGCACCATACATCTCCTGGCACATTAGTGCCACCAGGTAGGAATTCCATAGTAAGAGTTGTTGGGTGCATTTTTTAACAAAGAGAGAACAAGAGCTGGATGACCCCTCTTTCCCCGCTGTCTCTCCCCCTCCAACTCTGCCCCCCACTCCACCCCCAAATGTCTCCTTACCATAACTGTCTCCTGGGGACAAGAAGATCCCAAGCACCCTGGTAAAACACTCACACATCCTTCCTCTGTCCTGCTGTGCCCCAAACTCCATCCCCCTGGGAGCAGCCAAAAGTGGTGGGATGCCAGTGTCCTGCAGGGCTGCCAATCCCAGGGTCAGATCCCCAACACACACACACACTGAGCCTGAAAAGGAAGCACGCCAGCAGGATTAGTGCAAACCCACCATCAGCACTTTGGGCAGCCTTTCCATTGTTGGGCTGGAGTGGCGGACAAATGGGGCACGGGGCAGACAAAAGCCCAGGTCGGCATTTGCCCGGACAGGCGGCTTTCCTTAGGGGAGGGCAGGCAGCCAGCTGGGCCTTGGGTGCCAGGCTGTTTTGTGCATTCCCCCAAAAAAGGGAGCCAGTAGGGCCTGGCTTTAAGCAGCCTGCCCCGAATAATCAGGCTTGCCTGTGGGGCAACAGGGGGGCTATGAGTCTCTTGAGTTTGCGGGGGCATAGATAAGACAGAGAACCAGTGTGGCATAACGATTTGTATGCTGATTCAAACCCTCACTTGGCCATGGAAACCAATTGGATGACCTTCGGCAAGTCACACACTCTCAGCATAATAGGATGGCAAAGGCAAAACCTCCTTGGAATAAATTTGCTAAGAAAACCCTACAAGGGGGTCAGCATAAGTCAGAAATGACTTGAAAGCACACAAGAAGAGATGAGGTAGAAAGACAGGAGACTTTGGGAAGGGGCTCTAACTCTGAAGGGAGCCAATGTTGTGTAAGTGGTTTAACTGTTGGACTCTTGGAGACCAGGGTTTGAATCCTTTTTGCTCAGCAATGGGAACCCACCAGGTGACCGTTGGCAAGTTGCACTCTCTCAGCCCCAGAGGAAGGCAATGTCAGATCCCCTCTGAATAAATCTGACCAAGAACACTGTGTTAGGTTTGCCTGAGGATTGCCATAAATTGGAAGCAACCTGAAGGTGCATTACAATGATGACGACAACAACCTTTTGAAGATGCTCTGCCCACTGAATCTGTTAAGCCCTTTGGACACACAAGGTTGCTACCTCCTGAATTACAGGAAAACAGGAAATTGTCTTATACAGAGTTGGACCACAAGTCTTCTCACCTGGCTCATTTTGTCTGTTCTGACTGAAAGTGAGCATGAGAGTTCGTTCTCCCACCAAGGTCTAATCTGCACTGCAGAATTAATGCAGTTTGACACTGCTTTAATTGCCATGGCTCAATGCTGTGAAATTCTGGGGTTTGTAGTTTTGTGAGATATGTAGCCTCTGTCAGAGAGCCCTGATGCCACAACAAACTACAAATCCCAGGATTCCATAAGATGGAGCCATGACAGTTGAAGTATTGTCAAGCTGCATTATTTCTGCAGTGTGGATTAGACCCAGGGCTTCAGGCAGGAGGCAGATGTCCAACAGCAGAGGTATGGCCAAAAAACCCTGTGATAGGGTTGCTGTAAGCTGGAATCAGCTTGGAATGTGCATAACAAAATAACTCTAGGGCAAGAACCTTGCATAGCTTGCAGATGTTCCCAGATGTTCAGTGTCTGGATTGATCTCCAAGTCTGATGGGGGAGGTTAGAACACTTTTCTCTGCCAGAAACCTCTCGAGAGAACAGCTCTAGCAACTTCCACTCAGCTTTTCCTAGATTGCCCAATGGGGCACTTGGGACAAAACAACTTCTTTTTGGGGTTGCTAGCCATCCATGGTCCTTCCCTACATATCTGGCACCCCTAGTTGAGTGGTCTTTCTTCTCTCTCTCCAATTCCAGGGTTCTGCTGCATTTGAGTGCTTGCTCCCCTTCCTCCTCAGAGCCACACTTGGTTGGGATTTGTTGTTGTTGTGTGCC